CCCCCCCCCCCCCTGGTCCCAGTTCCCTGTCCCATTCCGAAACGCTGCACTTTTGAAAAACGCTAACTCAGTGTGTACCGAGGGTCATGAGGGTTAATTATCATATGACTTATGCTGTAGCAGTTTATAATTAATTGTAGATCAAAATGTTTGATTTAATTATATAAGAAAAAGTTACAATTCTTCCGCTGCACAATTATATATATTTTTGTAAATGTTTAAGCAATATTACATATATATCATTCCAATCATATCTATGAGTTTGATAACGAAAAGTTTTAGATAATTATTAGTAGTTGTCACAAAGATAAAACCTATTTATATGTTTAAAAATAAAAAATGTATATTTTTATTTATATAAATACGGTTTAATGATATCATGATGTTATTAAATGCATTGCATAACTTACACCACGCAATTTAATGTGAAATATATATTTTCTTAGTAGTAACATGATATCTTATTGTATTAAAAGCAACGATGCTATTTAACTAGCGTATTAATAATGCAACTCTTGCATACATATTGCGCATACATTTGACCTGGTCAAATGATAAGAAATGAGAATAAAAAATAAAAGATATGTTTTAACGCATAAATACACTAAATAGAATATTGTGCAACTAAAAGAAAGATTTATAATCTTCATATTTTTTCGAACACATTTATATATAAGACAATAATTATCCGAAAAAAACATTAAACCTATAATACAAAAAGTATAAAAGTAACTTAGCAAACAACAGATTATCGTAACATCTTATTCTAGTGTAAAGGCCCGTTTTCAAAGCAATTTTTGGGAATGCATTTAAAGTAAATGGTTAAACCTAAAGAGTTAATATCTTGTATTGACATTTCTTTATCTGTGAAGAAATATCTCAAATTTTTCAAAGTTTTTTATTCAAAATTGAAGAAAATATAAGTGGATGAAGCAAGTCACGCCGTAAAATCGTCTTTCATCTGGGGAGTTAATTGCCGCCGTAATCTGAAATAAACGAATTTAACACTTAGTTAAATGTTTAACCCGCTCGTTGTCTCTGTTATCCGCGAGGAATTTTACATTTTGGCTGATTTTTAGTCCTATTACGTTTTTAAAATTGTATTAAACTCTTCATTAAACAGGCAAACACCTAAAAAAAGTAACTTCCACAATACAGTTGTTTTGGTGCAATTATCCAAATTAATGAATTTAAACTTTCGTTAGTATTTTGAGTAAATAATCCGAGGCATTGTTGTAATAAATCATCGGTAGTTAAATCTTCGTAAATAGGTTGGATGACATTTAACACGTCATTCATCTCCCTTAAAACAACCTCACATTTAACCAATCTCAAAAATAAAATTTTTCTCTTTCGATTATTAAGAATTAAATCGATAGAATCAAATTATATTTATTGCGTTTACTCATTGTGTACTATTTTGTACCATAAAAAATAATTTTGTACCCTGTATTATTTAAAAAAATATTGTGATCCTGCTAACTTAATATAAAGAGAACAAAATAAAAACTGGTAAAAAAACGACAAGAAATGATAGATTTTATCGTTTTTGAATTTGTACTAATTTGTACCATCAAGAAAAAGTAAAAAAATCGTGATCCTGCTATCTTTATATTAGGTTTAGATAAGGGAGGGGTTTAAAGGGGAAAATATAAAATTTTCGATTTATTTCGAATGGTACAAATTAGTATAAATTCAGTACTAATTGTGTGTACTATGGTTTATTTATTTTTTTTATTTTTTTTTGGTCCTGCTAGCTTCCCTTATAGAAATATCATACTAAGAATCATTGATAATTACTTATTTTCAGTATTAAAAATACTGGATAATAAATAATTATCAATGATTCTTAGTATGATATTTCTATAAGAGTTGATATCAAGTTAGCAGCGCCACCATTTTTTTTAAAACGGCACGTGATACAAATTTCTTTTGTGTGGTACAAAATAGTACAAAATGAGTACTAAAAAATGCAATAGGTCCAATTCGATTCTGCTCATTTGGTTCTGCTAGCTTGAGAGAGGTATATATATGTACATATGCACCCAACGCGAGCCCGCCCTGTCGGGCAGGCGAATGCACGGACGCCCAAATAGTGTGTGTGTAAGTGTAGTAAGTGTGCTTGTCAATATCATTGAAATATCATAATAATTTTTTAATCTCAGGAAAATAATAACTTGCGAGATAACAGAAATGGAAAAAACCACGACACACACTTGATTATAAATTCTTATAATGCATTACAAAGAATAAATTAACATATATTTGATATATTAAATCAATAAAATTTATATTTGGAACTTATATAGAAGTAATCAATGTCTAATCTTTGTGTGTGTGTGTGTGTGTGTGTGTGTGTGTGTGTGTGCAAATCTACAGATCAAATGAACTTCTTTTGTTAATAATTTGTTAAGAAACAACGAGCGCCGCCTAAAAGTTTTTTAGAGTTACTCAGGAGGGTGACCTCTATAACATATGTCAAGATCAAGGTCATTGGAGATTGCTCCGTTAAAATGCATAATTACCAATTTTTTCTATTAACAACTCTTAATAATATTGACATTGATAGCAGACTGCATGCGTCATCCCACAGAGAGCCAAATTATGTAATTGTGTAATTGTTTTACTAATTATTATTCAACGAGACATGTGTCCTATATTTCATATTATACCAAATTGTATACATCTTTTATATATTGACT